AAAAATGGTTTCGTAACGGGCCTGATATCATAAATTTTAAAATTTTATTCACCTAAGATTAATTCAATAATTTTATTACTGTTTACTTTTAATACTTTTAAACTTCTTGTAACTTATGTTTTAACTTTAAATATATCACTCAAAAAACTAACACCAGCACATAACAAGAAAAAAGGAAAAATTTACAAACGTTTTCATCTATGTGAAATAGACATCTGTTTTTGTTAGCCATTTGTTCGATATCATATATATCTGAGTATTCTATTTCACATAGACAAAAACATTCGTAAATTTTTCCTTTTTTCTTGTTATGTGTTGGTGTTAGTTTTTTGAGTGATATATTTATACAAATCCCAGTTTTTGAAATATATTTTAACTTTAACATACAAACATAGAAATCATATAAAATTACTTGTAGTGATACTATAGACTTCCATATTGTATGCTGAATTTTTGTAGCATTAATTTTTGTGTTTTAATACTCTATCTTTAAAAACTCCATATCAAAAGTGCTCATCTTTTTCAATTATATTTTACCACTGGAGTTGTAAAATATCAAAAATAATGTGCTGATAGCATAATAGTGAGAATATATCTACAAAAATTATACAAGAAGGTACATTATTTTTCCCTACTTTTCTAGCTCCATCCAAAAGCTAACTAAAAGGACACCTTTGATATTTTCTGACTAAGAATATATTCTTTATTGCATTTAACAAAGATTTCTTCCAATATACCTGGATGTTGAAGGGGCATAATTTTGTTTACATACATAATTCCTAAAATTTTGCTGGAATGTTTGTGTATTAGAGAATTGATGCAATTAAATTTTGATGGTTAAAGAATGAGGGGTGAGGGTAGTCACGTGTCATATAATGAAGATTTTCCTTGTTATTAGCACTTAAAAAATTTTTTTCTTTTATGAAACTCATCTCTATCCTCAAAATTAAGCTTTTAGCCATTTTATAATAATTAATAATTAATGATGCAATGAATATTTGGTTACTATTCGATATTCAGCCTATGTTTCGCTATTCAGCCGAAAACTGAATATGTAGTACCTAAAAAAGGAGTAAGAAATAACAAAAACACAGTAAATTAATCATTTTGGTAAACTTTTATTAATGCTGAACATACATTTCAAATTCGAAAAAGCGCAATTTTTTGCTTATTTATGTAAAAGATGAAAGTAAAAGTAATATAACTAAGTTATTTTTTTAAGCGATAAAAAAAAAAGTAACAAATCATATGAAAATTACCTACTTATTATGTAGTTTAGTCATCTATATACTCATATATAAAAGAACAAGTCCTGATAAGATAATTAGTGCAGAGCCAAAACTACAAGTGCTAGAAACTTAAAAATTTGAGGGTGTGTTCCTTTTGTAAAGTTTAGGTGTGCTAAGAAAACATTATACAAAATTCAACCCTAAAGGGGTAAAAAATTTGTTTGAAAATTTTTACTGCGTGAGCATATTAGATTGAAACTTAGGTCATAAAATGTGAAAAAAATAATAATTAATGATCTGTAAAGCGTTTTTATGAAATCATCCCTTATTACAAACTTGAAAACTAAATTAACTTTTTTGTTTCATTGTACAAAATTATCATAACTGAAGTTCCAGACAGCTCGGTAGCCTGAACAACCCTAGGCTTTTACCTGTGCATGCTAAGTGACTTTCATTACAAGCTTTCTGAAATCTATGAAAACAATTATTTGGAATTGACGGCCGTGAACTTCGCGCTAATAAGCTGCCTCGACTTGTTCAATTGTGTTATCAACTCAATTTCATAATTATTTTCACATTTTCACTTTGCATTCCTTCTCTGTTCTTTTTCCATTATTTACACATGTAGGTCGTTTCATTATTCGCATTTGATATCATCACTTATCACATACTGCCATGACGCTCATGTTTGTTCGCTACAACTGTCAAGAATTAACACGATTGGTGAAGCATAGTGACAGTGAGCCAATAGAGAGCAGGGTGTGTATCCTGCTCTCTATTGGCTGACTGTCACTATTGGATCCTTGCCATAATACAATTTGCGTGCCAATTTTCATATGTGTGTTAATCAAGCAAAATAGTTTGGCCGAATATTCAGTATTCAGCCTGAGGCTGAATATACTATTTGTTGCATCAATATTAATAATATAAAATATTTTTAAATAAAATCTTATAACAATGGAACTACACCTATTTCAATTATATTTTTTGTCACCTTTGTCATCCATGATCAGAAACATTTTCTTATTAGAAAAATCACAGTGAATAAAAAAATCTTATTATCAACATTTTCTTTGATAAAATAAACAGCTTGATTAAGATACTATTTAATCCAATTTGAGATTGTCTCAATGTATGATAATTATTATGAGAGTGATGGTGGTGGAGAAAGAAGTCATTTATGTAAGAATTTTAAAATATGAAGATAGGAATTAAAATTTATTGTCTAGAACAAAATTCTCAAATAAATGTAATAACCAAAAAACAAGTAAAATGGCAAAATTGTATTTGCGACAAGACTATGTCTCAGAAACTCACTACTAAGCGAAATCACTTTGACGCTCAAGGCAATCTTGTTCTCATTCTCCAATCTTCTTTGGTATTGCTGCTTTTGGATGTGATCATTCAAACTTCGCCAGCCACGATGCATTTTCGATGAAATTAACCTATCCAATTTTGAAATTTCTCTCTGTTGCATGTTGGCCCAGGTTGAATTTTTGTTGATGCATAACAAAAATTTCCCATTTTTGAAAAAAATAATCGTGGTTATAGTATTGTCCAAAATTATTTTTTTTATTTTGCACTAACAATATACAGTTTAACCTGATTATAACATCAAATTTTTATCAGTCCCATGATTTTATTATACTAGATAGTGTTAAAAAACCCACTTGTAATGACATAAAACTGTTTTAACGTCATATTTGAAGCGCTCCCAAATTTACAAAATTAGATTACAAATTTTATTTAACATAGAAGAAATTACATGTTCAGTCCTAAGGTCAGAGTTCACTTCTTAGAATGACTGTGGGTGGTAGTCTCCCCACCTGACTTCGATGGGGTGAGGTGCCTGTTTTGCCTGTCTGTAGAAGAGGGTCACCATTCTGTATTTTATTTTGACTCGGTTCTTGGTCCCCTGACTACTTACAAGTCTGGATTTTTTATGTGCAAATGATTTGGGCACTTAATACTCTGTGCCAAATAGCAACTCTCGACATGTACTCCTTCATACTTCTATGCTGGTAACATAAAATGGCAGTACGCTTATAAGTCTTGTCAATACTCTTATAAGTATTGACAAGACTATGTTTTATAAATAAAACATAGTCTTGTCAATACTTATAAGAGTATAATAAAGGCAGTATTCAATTCTGTACATAATAAAATATATTTTAAATGTAATTATGGTAGACATTAATCAAATTTACCTTGAGTTGTTATTGTTACTTTGATATCTCCACTCCCAGAAGGAATGAGAGAAGAAGAAATTTTTCCAAGAGAAGTAGACAAATCTGCCCATGGTTTATTTTCTGGTGACAATAACTGACAAAATGAAGCAGAATTTACCTATAAAAAGAAATCTTTTATCACATGGTTAAATTAAAATTATAAATTAATTAATATAAAACCAATTATGATCAGCAACAATCAATGGTTACTAATTGTAAGTGATATTCTTTTTTATATAACATTTAGTAATTATTTTATTTTATTACATGTAAACTTAGCTTAACAGAAAATGATGTATTAAGTCATTAGAGTAAAAGTTACATACATAAAAAAGATATAATTATTATGGAATATTTGAAATCAAAATATTGACATAACTGTTAATCTTTATATAAAAAACTTAATAATAGAAGATAAAAACATAATAGTGATATTAATAAGGAAAGAGAAATAATGATATTCTCATTTAGCAATATTTCTGATCTGATTGGAGTTAAAATTTAATACATATTCCTTTACTGTATTTATTCATTAAATGCATAAAAAATAGACACACAGTCTTTGTAATTAAAAATGAAAAGCAATAATTTTATTTTCATTAATTTTCTTTTACATTAACTTTATTTTTAATTCAATTACTTCATTAACATCCCATATTCATATTAAGAAGAATGATAAGTGATGAGTTTGGAATAAGATTTTCATATTCTTATACAAATTCAAGTTTACAAATTTAATTTTAAATGATACAACATAATTTTAAAAGCAGAATTTGAAGACAATAAATGTATTTATTTAGCAAAATTATCATAAAATCAACATAATTTGTAGCATTCATTAAAATAAATTCAACAGTTCAATTTATTAAATTTTAGATCTAAACTTATTAATTACCTGCTGTAACAGTACCAGCTACACCAAGTCCTGAAGTTGCAATTCGTTGGGATTGTTGTAACTGTGCAGGAGACAGACCAGCAATAGAAACAACAGCAGGTGTTGTTCCAGATACTACTCCTGTAACGGTTGTTGTTGTTAATGATCGCATCTGTCCAGCAGCAGCAGCAGCAGCCACCATTTCCTGAACAGTCATAGTAGTAGTAGTGCAACTGGATACAGTTACTGCTGGTCTCTGTGCACGTAGAGTTGATCCCAGTGCAGTGACAGTTGCAGTCTGTAAATTATTTATTAAAAAAATTACAAAAATATTTCTAAATAAAAAACAAAATAAATACTTGATAATAATGATGTAATGAAAATACTATTTATTGAAAGAATATAATTATTTTATGAATAAATCTGCAATTGTTTTAGTCTCTCAGTAACCAGGACTGCTAAGAGAAGAACACTGAAGAAATTATCTGAAAGCCTATGGAAAATAATAAGCTATCATAATATTTACAAATTTCAAGAAATTTTCATAATTTTGACAAGTTTTAAACAAAATGAACCTAATTATTGTTACATAAATATCCAAAATTTATTTCTATGATGTGTAGTATGAAAAGAGACCTATCATTAATACTGAGAGATAGACTAGAGTTCATCAAGTCTAAAGCTTGCCTCTCTGCAATGCTATCAGCAACATCTTCAATTACAGAGAGGCTATATCAGTCATCAAATTTAAAAACCAAAAATATTTGTCAATTTAAGTGTACATATTTGATTCAATAAAATAATTTTAAATTTTAATTTTTAATGGAAATTAATTATTTTTCCACTACTTCAGATGTTTTCTGTGAGTAATNTCATGATAATAAATTTTTATTTCAAATGAAGTGTTCATTATTTTTCAGCTACTTAGTTTTCTTTTAACTTTTCAATTTGATTATTATTGTCAGAATTTATTTCAAAACTGATTTAACATATATATAGGCATATCCTGCTTAATATCAGTAATCCATTCCTAAAAACTCAGATATTCTATGGGAAAATGCTACTTGGAAGCCTAATTCCATTATCTTAAATGGGAAAATTATAATCTGACACATTTTCCTGTATATTGTTTTGATAAAGATGCTGTATTGAATTTTTGGAATTAAATATGAATTTTTCTTATATAAACATCAGCCAAGAGTCATTGTAATAAAAGATGTGTACATTCTATGAAATTTAGGTATTAAAAACCAAGAGACATTGTAAGGGAAAAAACTCAACCTTATTTTTATTTGTATATATTACTTCTTTTACATTTAATTTGAATTGTTTGTTTAGTAAAAAGGGACTGCATGTAAAAATTAACTATTTTGACTTAATTTTTGACATGCAGTCCCTCTTAACTACTACTGGAAACCCAGTTAGTAATGGTCCAGAATATAAAGAATATGAACAGATTTTGCATGAAACACTATTTTTATTTAAAACTTTAATTTAGAAAAAAAATCAGAAAAATTAATCAATTTTACACTTGTTACAAGGTTGAATTCTAAACTTAATGTAGAGAAATTTTATAAAGCATAAACTAGACCTATTATGATGTCACTTATCATTACAAAAAACAACTAATGGAGAAGGTAAAGCAACAGCGGCACATTATAGCTTTGTGAGGCCCAGGCAAATCTGAATTAGAATGCCCCATGTACAGTGTTGACTTAAAGATATTTTTATTTGGGGAAGTTTTTGGAGGAATTACCAGTGTTAAGCCCCAATAGACCTAGGTCTGTTAGGTGATGTTAGAGGGTCAAGACACGGACAAATTAATATAAGGACTTTACAAATCTGGTTAAATGTTAGTAACAAAGGTTTAATCATAAATATTTACAAATTATTCATCTGTTCTAAAACATGAGAGGAACATAATTCTATTAAAATTTACAAGATTAGGTAACACGTACAATATACAAGAAAAGGATTGAAGGTATTACTTTTCCTTTTAAAAAGACACAATAACCAACATACCAACAAAAATAATGGTTTTCTGATGTCCTTCAATGTTTCCTGTTTTAATATCTTGTACTTAGTTCGTGAACAATGGACGTATTCTATACGATAGATTTGGATTCCGTTCTCTACATTTAAAAGTTCACACGTGTCAGTCCCTTTCTTCTATTTTACTGACACTCTTACACCACATAGTTTGTTGATCACTCAAGAAACAGGAACTTGAAAAAAGTAGACTTTGGATGGGAGTTCCAATATTTATACTTCCCGCCATTGGGTGTGACGTGAAACACATGTGATGTTGGTCACTGACCAATCAACCAGCACGACGGGCCCAACCCGGTACCATAAAATAAAACCCAACACGACACATCGTATATATATATAAAATAAACGAAAAAAAAAAACTATACATAGTGCTTGGGCACTACACCAGTATCCTTGTTCATTTTTTAAAAACAACCTCTGGAGGGTTAAGTTTTGTGCTGCGCTTGTGCAATCTAGTGTCATTAAATTTAAGCTTTGATATTCTTACTACAGTAATGAGTTTATAAAAGATTGGTTTGCAATTGCCTGGGGCCCCTTGTTGACAGAGGTCCAGGTAATTGCCCTTTTTGTCCATAGGATAACATGCCACTGTAAGGCAATAGAATTCAATCAATATACTAGCATGCTGGTTGAAAACTATTACTGTAACAACATTTCAGGATTCCACTAAATAGTGCTGAGCAGCATTGTAACACTTCTTATATGCATTACTAAAAATACAAAAAGCATAACTCTATATTAATAAAGAAGTAGGGGTGCTGCAAGAAAAAATTATCAAGTTGGAGGTGTCACTATTAGAAAAAGGGCCGAAAAGCCTTTTTCTAATAATAGGGTAAGGTAAAGATAAGGTAAGGTAAGATTGAAGCCTTTGATTAATAAATAAAGTGATAGGATAAATTTATATTAAAGAATTCACAGAGTAAACTCTTAATAAAAGCATATTGTCTAGGAGACAATTCTTCACAGTTAAACACTTAAAATAATTGTGTTTGTGAAAGTTATAATTATGTTTATATGCAGAAAAAACTATTTTTCAATTTAGTTTGGCACATTCTTACTTCCACAATGAATTACATTTTCTTAAAAGTTTCCTTCTTGAAAATTCTAGTTTCAAAAAAAAAAAATAATAATCCTTTAATATGTTTCCAATGGAAAATTTTGTAAGTTTGCATTGTTTCAAACTGCATCATATTTTGTATAAACCAGGGCTGTGGAGTCGTGTAAAAATCTACCGACTCCAACTCCAACTTTTCCTTACCATCCGACTCCAACTCCGACTAGGGACAAACTTGTTACCGAAAGAGACCAGGAAATTCTGATGTCATCACATGACCTCAGAATAAAAGATTCAATAAATAGAGTTCTAATAAAGATAGAACACAGAAACTTTTTATTCCAAAGCTATAAGACTCCTCTAAGTAATGACACAGTCAATATATAAATATGTATTGGATAATTTTTACTTTTCTGGCTGTTATATATAACAGAAGGAAAGTGTAGCGCTCAATCTAAAAATGTCCCCTCCAAAATTTTTACATTTTTGGATTCAGGATATCTTGAAATTTCAAGATATGCAAAAGACTCAAGGTTTTTTTTTTATATGTGTGGATGTTAGACTGTGTGTGGAGGGCATGATTTTGTTCACCCTGTTTAAAGCCTAATAATTTCTGTGGTCAGAGTGGTCAGAATCGAAGTCAGATGGTTAATTATTAACAGGAGTTAATTATTAAATGTCAAAGTGGTTGAACTAAATCATATCCCCATACACATTCTAACGTTTTAGGTGCGAACATCTTAACGGGTTTTACTGTACTATTATAAAATAACAAAAAAGCTTACTTTGAGGATAAAGATGAGTTTTATTTTTTTACTTTTTTAAAATTTTGAACGGTAATAATGTGTAAAATATTCATTAAGAGATATGACACATGACCCCTTTTATGTCTTCACCCTGTTGACCATTAAGAACAAAAATTTAATAGTATTAATGCCCCTTTATATGCAAGCTACAGTGCCACATTTTGTTTCTTAAACTTTACCCATTCTGAGATATTGTTTAATATCTCAGAACAGAAAATAAAGAAATTAAACAAATNTTAATGCCCCTTTATATGCAAGATACAGTGCCAAATTTCGCTTCTTAAACTTTATCTATTTTAAGATATTGTTTAATATCTCAGAACAGAAAATAA